AAAAAAAAAAAAAAAAAGAAAGAAAGAAAGAAAAGAAAAGAAACCAGAAGAGGCGCGGGTGGGTCCAGGAGGCCAGAGGACGAGGCTGAGCAATCGGGATGGGGACAGGCCTAGCGGCAGGGCCCCAGAAACCAGGGACGGACCTGAGTGATGAGAGGTTGAAGCTGGGCATCAAGGTGTCTGCTGAAGGAGGAATGGGAGTGGGCAGTGGTCTCCAGCTAAAACCAGGGCATATCTTGGAATGGGGTAGGGAGGAGGGGGAATGTGATTTCTTGGTGGGAACGTGATTTCTCGGTGGGAACGTGATTTCTCGGTGGGAACATGATTTCTTGCTCGCTTAGTTCCTTGCCAGCTTAGAGGGAAGGCTGCCCCAATACAACACCCGCATCGCCCTGCCGCTTGCTACTTCCAAGGACAAGTTTTTTGGTCAGTATGGGTGGAAGGATGAAGGGGTGCGGTTGAGCCCCAAGCTGGGGAGCAGGAGGTTGTCGGATATCCTGCTCAGGGCCAAGGTGGGGGTGGAATGGGGTGGTAAAGGCTGGGAAGGAGACCCAGGGATGGGGACCCGGATCCCTCAATGCTCCCTGCTTCTCCCTCACCGCGCCCCCCCCCCCCCGTAGATGAAGAGAGTGAGGAGGAGGACAACGAAGTAGTGACCCGCGCATCGCTCAAAATCCGTTCCCAGAAATTAATCGAAAGCCGCAAGAAGCACCATCGCTCTCGAAGGTCCTAGACTCGCCCTGGCAGCCCCCATCGGAGCCCCCGATTCCTCCGGGTCTAGCGAAGGCCCCACGGGGCCCCTTTAAGGGCCGAAAGCGGTCTGGACAGGGAGCCGAGGCGGCCAGCGGCGCCCGGAGGAGAAGAAGGAGCTGGGCCAGACGTTCCCACAGTAAATTTCCCCAGCTGGGTCTGCCCTGGCCTCAGAATTGTGCAATAAAGGTCTCAGACCAAGCCCCTGGGTATTCGTCTCTTCATGACCCTGCACCACTCAAGAGACGGCTGTCCCTGAAAACCCAGGGCCACAGACCTGTATTCCCTGTCTTCCCAGCACTTTGGGAGGCTGAGCTGGGTGGATCGCTTGAGCCCAGGGGGTCCAGACCAGCCTGAGCAACATGGTGAAAAACAGTTCTAACCGCCACCACCCCCCCAAAATATAGCCGGGCGTGGTGGCGTGTACCTGTAGTCCCAGGTACTTGGGAGACTAAGGCAGAAGAATCGCTTGAACCCAGGAGGTGGAAGTTGCGGTGAGCCAAGATCGTGCCACTGTACTCCAGCCTGGGCAACGGGAGTGAGACCCTGTCTCAAAAAATTAATAAGGCTAGGCACCGTGGTTCACGCCTGTAATCTCAGCATTTTGGGAGGCCATGGCAGGTGAATTGCTTGAGGCCAGGAGTTCGAGACCAGCCTGGCAAGCATGGCAAAACCCCTTCTCTACTAAAAGTACAAAAATTAGCTGGGCATGGTGGTGGTACCTGTAATCACAGCTACTTGGGAGGCTGAGGCAGGAGAATCGCTTGAACCTGGGAGGCAGAGGTTGCAGTGAGCTGAGATCAAGCCACTGTATTCCATCTTGTACAACAGAATGAGACTCCATCTCAAAATAAAAATAATCGGTTGGGCACAGTGGTTCATGTCTGTAGTTCCAGTACCTTGGGAGGCTGAGGTGGGTGGATCACCTGAGGTCGGGAGTTCAAGACCAGCCTGACCAACATGGAGAAACTCCATCTCTACTAAAAATACAAAAAAAAA